TCCTGTAGATACTTTGGTCCCTGACCGCTCAAAGCCTTACAGGTCAAAACCAAAACCTTGAACTTGACTCGATATTCCACTGGGAGCCAGTGTAGCTGGCACAGCACTGGATGCATATGTGCCGTCAGTGACATTCCAATCAGGATTCGCACCGCCGTGTTCAAGATCAGCTGGAGCTTCAATCCCAAGGGCAGGCCAGCGTAAAGCAAGTTACAGTAGGCCTGGAGGTGACCGTTGCATGGGTTACCGTGGCTAGGTCAGGGCGTGACAGGAAGGGGGCCATTTGCCAAACCTGATGTAGATGAAAAAGTACCAGTTTGGCGATCTGCGTGACCTGGGCCTCCGCATTCAAGGAGGCATCCAAGATCACTCCCAAACTCTTGACAGATTGCGCCGGTGTTAGTGGTGTCAAGGGCGGGTAAACTGTACCCCGACCCTGAAGTCCCCTTCCACAGTCACAGAACCTAAGTCTTAATTGGATTCCGTTTCAACCTGCTCTGTTTCAACCACCCAACCACAGCCTCCAAACCCATGACCAGGTTATGCGGGGCAGAACCCGGGTGGCCCTCCAATAACTGATATAGCTGGGTGTCATCAGCATACTGATGACACCCAAGCCTGAAAAGCCTCACCAGTTGCGTGAGGGAGTGCATATAAATGTTGAACAAAATTGGGGAGAGAAGCACCACGTGAAGGACCCCACATGTTAAGGGGTATCTAGAGGACACCTTCTCACCCAGCGCCACCCTGTCCCTAACCATGAAGAGGCAAGCCACTGAAGGACTAGCCCCCAAACTCCTACATCAGTGAGGCGGTGGGTCAAGAGATCATAATCGACCATATCAGATGCTCCTGTAAGGTCTAATAACAATAGCATCGCTGACCCGCCTCGATCCAGCTGTCTGTGGAGATCATCTGTCAAGGCAACCAACACCATCTCCGTCCCATGGCCAGGGGCAGAAGCCAGATTGGAATGGATCTAATGCCAATGTGTCATCCACAAAACCATGAAGCTGTTCAGCTACTGCTGTCTCAATTACCTTGCCCAGGAACAATAAACTCAAAACTGGGTGATAACAGTTTCTGCTACAATACACATGTAGTTCTATTCAAAGTCAATATCAATATATGGTCTTTTTTCAGTCATAACTTACTAGAACCTTTGTATAACAGCTGTTTCATCATTTGGCTTGGCCCTACCACAAATGAACACTGTAAGGTGCCCTCTTTACTCAATTCAGTGTTGCAGTACAGAATACATATACTCACTGAGATCATGTAACTCAAGGCAGTGGAAAAAGTCAATTCTATAGCGTACATAATTCTTAAATCTATTTCTCGTTTGCTAAAATACAAGGGTGCAGTTTTCATTTTTGTCCCAAAATAAGATGTGTTATGGCCCAAATCCATGAGGAAATTCAGTTCTCTTCCATCTGTATTGATTAATTCTTTAAGAACTGAATACATACCTGGGAAGCCTCCAAATTGAGCTCCTCCTCCTGCCTGTCGCCGAGCATCTTCTTCCTGCAAAAAAGTCATAGAAACACATCACAAGGTGTAACTACTAAAGTCTACTGAAATCCAAGGAACTTTACTAGGATCCAAATCCCTACGTGTAGGGCCAGTCCAACTATTAGGCAAACCTATGTGATCACCTGGGGTGCCGTAGTAGGAGTCAGTTTGAGGGGCTCTGAAAAGCCCCGCACTGAGCTGCTCCTCCTGGCTGCTCAGACACCTTTGATTTTGTACTGTTGAGATTTTGTTGCTGCCTGCAGGCAAGGAACAGATGGGGCAGAGCCACTATACCTAGTTGCACTCACCAAGTTGATAAGAATGCACCAGGGCCAGGCTCGTAGTCAGGATTTTTTAATTCGGGGGGCCTTTAAATAAGTCAGGGGGCACTCCGCACACACCCCTGCTGCACCCACCCCCAAGGGAGCACCTGGGCTAGATGTTAAGTCAGGGGGCCTTGGCGGTAAATCAGGGGGGCAGGCCCCGAGATGCCCCACTGTAGCTACGGGCCTGACCAGGGCAGTGTTCTGCAACTGACAAACCAGATAAGCTGTAGTTCTGCCCTCTGCTGCTCTCCCAGCTGGTGACTGGGTGATAATCTAGAAAGATGTCAGGTAGCTCCTTCCTTGGTCTCTTCCCTGGCTGCTTATGAATGACAGGCAGAAGGATACATCTGCCCAAGAGGGTTCTCCTGCCCCTCTCAGCTAGAGCAAGTTAGGTAAAAAATGAGTGTGACTGCCATCTGGGCCAGCCTGTTCTGTTCAATGGCTCACCACCTGATTCCCGGGGTTCTCATCTGTTGCAGTATCCTAAAAGGCTCTGCCTCTGATGCTGCTTGGGTAGGGGTCTGGCCCAAATGTCATCCTTGTTGTGCACTGTGGCTCTAGGAAACAGGGCCAGAAGTCATCATGCTGAGAGGGCCATGCTGCTGATCCCACTCTGCTGCCAAGTAAGGCTCCTCTTCCTTTTTTGCACCCTTGAAACTCTGACACCCTAGGTCACCTATATGGTTGGGATAATCCCGCTCACTTCTCTCTACCGAATTTTTTTGGGGGTGTTTTCCACTAGGGTCATGGCTCACCTAGGGTGCCAAAAACCTTGGGCCAACCATGCCTACATGCTCCAGAAATCCTAGTGTTATGCAATACTGCTTTATTTCCATGAAACCTAGATAGCCCTGAAGAACAATTATTTCAGTATCTGTGAAGTCTTTTTAATCTTTTAAGTTTCTTATTGCTCCTTCACCCAAACAATCAGCAGTACTGGATTTCATACTATGTATTAGTTTGTTTTAATGTTCTCTACAACTAGATACAAGCTCATCTAAAACTGACACTAAAGTAAGAGTCTAATTTTGGAAACCACAGAACAATAACAGCATAACTGTGCTAGAACCAGGTTGTACGCTTGTTGGGGAAACAGCCCCTACTTTTTCATGAGTCTACTGTGGAGTTTACACAGAAACTATACAGGGTTCAAAGTTAGGAAGGGATAGAGATGCTAGGCTATTTTCCTTCTATAAATCTTTATTAAGGTCTCACCCTTTGAGCTCTCTCATGTTCCTCTCGGGCTTTCTTCACCCTTTCCATCCTTTCACGGATTTCTTTTTCTTCACGCTTTCGTTCATACTTTCTCCTGTGTTCTGCAATCTTTTGAGCCTGAGACACCGGAAAATAATACTCATCATGTGCTACCACCATCTTACACTTCTTCTGCATAGCTAGTTTTAGCTGACTTGTGTTGTGCATCCGTTTTCACTTAAGTGTTGCAAACCAGGTTAGATCTAACACATATTCCTTCCTATGGTGACTCCTCAGACAACATGGAGCCCAATAATGCCTAAACAGATCTCAGAGCTTCATAACCCACAGACAATAAAATGACAGCCCTTTCTGGGAAAGATTTGTTTTGTCTCAAAATTTGTCATATTATGTAATTGTTAAGTACAGTTACGTCCAGAAATAAGAGTCAAAGCCAACTGTTCCATTCTCCAAATCATTTTTTAAAAAGTTTTAAAACAGTCTCTTCCAGGGCTTCTTAAACCTAGGGACTGGAATACGTAGTTTGTACCTTCCTAATAGATTCTGAGAACAAACTGAGCCTTTGAAACCCCTCCAGAAAAGAGTCAAAGATATCAGTACAGAGAACCAACCCAGCATTTCACAGAGAAAGTTTTGACAGAATAAGGACCCTACTTTCCACTTAGCTTACAGCATGAAGCTGAGCATCCAGAAAAAAGACAAAATGTGAACTATTTCTACCATCTATCATAAAACTATCATTTACATTGTATTTAAGACTTCTGTACATCCATCTTGAAAACTCATTTATCTATCCTGCCTTTCCAACAACTGAAGGCACCTTATAATCCAGTGTAAAACTGTTCCCCATTTTGCGGGGTGTGAAGCAGGCACAATACAAAGGGAAAAAACTTGCAGGCCAAAGTTGAGGACAGTATTGGCCAATAATATGTGGAAGACCACCCAGCTAGAGCATCTTCTCTTAGACTTTGGCACCCACCCCTTTGCTGCAGTTTGCTGGCACAGAAGTTAGCCATTAAAGTAACAAGCATAGTTTCAAAATGCTACTCCCCTGTAGGCATCAAGGCTGTAACAGCTAGCACAGATGCATTTCCCACCTCCCTGAAGTGTCTTCTTTTTACATATAAAAGTCACACGAAAAGCCCCAGCCTGTTCTGCAGGACTTGTCAGTGAAGAACAAGAGGCATGCAGAAGACACATGAAACTGAGGAGGAGGGCCTGGACAATCAAGGCTGGATGGGAGGTCATCTAGGAATCCTATGACTACCACACTGCGTTACATAGGAAAATATAAATTATACTACCATAAACTGGTAAAAGATTTGGGGATAATGAATCAACATTTCATTCAAATTTACGGGAAATTATGGCTCTGTATATTTTGCCTTGATGAACAGAAACATGGGGAATTGTCCTAAAACAGTGGCAATAAAAAGAGGCCAAGATTTCAATACAGGAGATTTTAATGCATTTAAAACCCCATACAGATGCTTTTGAGATACTGTAAAAGACACAAAAATTTGGACCCTACTGATCTCCACCTTAAGCTTCGCATTACAAGATATCATGCCCAAGGCAACTGTAAATTAAGCATTCAAAACCATTTTCTGATCATGTAATTTAGTTTGCAAATAAAGGAGTGGTGCTCTGAAAAGAAGGCTAGAGAGAGAAATATCCTATTTTTAAACAAAGTTGGCAGCGCTCCCTTGTGGCAGATTAAGGAACAATCAAGTAGTAACACTGCATTGCACCCAACACTGATGTCAGGATTGATTTACGCTTTTCACAGCAGACACTGCTTCTTTTCCATTATCTTTCCCCCAATGAACATGAAGTTGGGAAAGGAAAACATGTCTGCATATATACAAAGACATATGTCTCCCCTTCAACTATTACAGGTGTTTATGAGGAGACATGTGGCAAGATAGTAGGAAACTTATCTGCTTTGCAGAATAAAAAAATCATTGCTCACCAATGTTCTGGAAGTTAGAAGACGGAACCACAGTGCCCTTCAATAATTCTCTGGAATTGCAAGATTATATATACTCAAATAGGCACTGCCTTCCAGAACAAGATGTCTATAGCATCAAAACATGAAACCATGAATAAGGCAGCCTATTTCCCTATGTCTGTCTTTCTCCCCACTGTCACTCACTCGTGGTTGCACCTCCTTCAGCATAGTGCTAGCATCTTCATCGTAATCCAGTTTACAGGCTAATGCCAGATCACGTGCAGCCTCCTCCCATTGACCTAGCAGTCTGGCAATGACAAGATACCAAATCAAGGATTAATATTATAACTGGATAGCTATATTTTTAAAATCATATGCAATCTAAGATCCTAAGATCTGCACAAGTATAACTTCAATTAGTGATTGTTGTATGAATATCTGCAAATCTGGTATGATTTTTCTTAGGAATTAAGGGGGGGGTAGCATCTAGCATTTCTGTAAATTAAATAAGCATTCAAGCCCTTTTTTATTGTGTAGCTTAGTTTGCAAATAAAGTAATCCCCCAAAGTCTCACTTCCCCAAAACTAATGAAGCCTAAGTACAACAGACTAAAACATGGGCTAATTTGTCAGGAGACTATGTGATTAACATGTAGATCAAAACCACAGCACTGAGTCTGTGGTTCTTTTAAGGGCATTTGGGGCCAATAGTTTTACACAGAGTAGTTAACACAGAGTAGTTTAACTACTACCCACCTAAGTAATTCATATTATAATAGGGAACTAGACCAAGTTTCGTCTTCCTCAGTATGTAAGCAGCGTTGCAATTCTTTACCTGTAAGCTTTCCCTCGCCATTTATACGTCTGTGCTGAATCAGGATTAATCTGAATGGCTCTATCACAGTCTCTAATGGCAGCATTTGGCTTCTGCATTTTCACAAAAACACTGTCAATGGCAACAAAGAAAGCACATAGAAGTCACAACCAGCAGTTCTTTGGAAGGGTTATCATCCCGAGACTCCAGGCACATTATAATAAAGTTATACAGTGATTAGTTCTTATTTACCCAGTTCTCCCAACAACACATAGAATTATGAGTGGTCCCACTGCTTTGTAAACATCTACAGAAAGACATTCAGTGATAGAAACATTATAAGAATCTCAGTGACCCATCTACTAGTATTAACAGTCTTGCTTCAACATCCTAAAGGAGAATATTCCATAACACACATTTTCATATTGTATTCTCTTACAAGGTAAGTAGTAATGTAGTTAAGAGAGCATAGTCATTGAGAAGCCATAAATCCTTAGCAATCCAGCAAAGTGAAATAAAAAGCCCCTCCCCCCATTTGATTTTTCTGCCTTCTAAACATTTCTACAATGGTAAGAACAAGGAAAATGTTATGCTGCAGCATAACAGACAGCAGCTCAGAGACTCAAGATTGTATACTGGCTAAGGGGCCATGATTAGCACAATAAAACAAATGGCACATTAAGACTCTTAAATTAATAGCAGACCTCTTGTGGCTGGTTTGCCAAGATGCCAAACAGCGACTCCTAGGAACAATACCACACAAGAGGCTGAACAGGTTTTGCAGTCATAGCATTGTTGGATGCAACAGGTGCTTATTGCACTGAAGCTGAAATCTCACCAATGGCTCATTTAGAAAGAACGGTGGAAATACCCACCATAAACCAGAACTCTGGAGTCCATATGGTCAAGATTATGAACACTGTATTTGAAAGCAGGCAATCTGTCTTTTCAAAAAGCACAGCTTTTAAAATCTAAACTTTTACCTGGCTCGTTTGGCATACAGAATAGCCAGATGAGGATTCAACTTGATAGCTTCTGTGAACAAATTAATGGCTTCCTCAAGTTTACCTGAAAATATCAATAAAGCTTAAGTGATAGTCCAAGAAGAAATGCAGATTGTACACGTTTTAAATTAGGAGACTGGCAGTGCAATCCTAAACAGAGTTACACCTTTCCAAACCTACTGATCAAAGAGGACTTAGAAGGGTGTAATTCTGCTTAGGATTCTACTGCCAGATAAATGAAAATAAAAGATCTGAGGGAAATTATCAAGGTCTTTTCATGGTGAAGAAGAACCAACTTTCCAAACTACAGGGTCATCATGATATATTAATTTCTGCAATATACTACAGAAGCAGCAAAAAAGCAATCATGCCTCAGCCAGAAGCATAATAAGGAACACAGAACAGGATGCAGTGACTTGCAACCTTCAGTCATACCTAATACTAAACTGGCTAGCCTGTGTGAATAACAAAAACACCACAACAGGTCTAGTCACAATTATAAAGGAGGTTTCTGCATCCCCAGGGGAAACTCGAAGCAAACAGAAAAATATGAGATTTCAAATTTAAAACGAAGGGCTAGAAACAGGGCTGTGCCTGCACACTGCCATGGAATCCTGGCAGTGTGAGCGAAGAAAGCAGGTACAACTTCTGTCTAAATAGTCCTGCGAGGATAAAGAGAACAACACAAGACCACCCACTATTTCTCTCAACCTTATCAAGGAAGAGCTGTTTTGCTGAGGGGAAAGAAGTGCTTTTTACTGTGTGTCACTGCTGAGTAGCCACCCAGGGAAAGCTTGGCTTGTGTCTAGGTACAGCCAGGTCCCACCACCATAATGGACACATTCGGTTTGAGCAGCAAGCAGTAGCTCCTCTTCTTTATTCGCTCCACAGGCTCAACACGTTGCCTGAGTCGGGCCAGTCACAAGTACCCCAGCTGACTATCTTCAGAATCATGAGGAGACCACAGTTTGGAATGCCCAAACCATGTCACTTGGGGAAAAGTGGGGGTGCCTGATATGCCCCTCCTTCACTTATTCTATGTGAAGAAAAACTATGCCATCCCAATCCTGATCCTTTTCATGTTTACTCAAAAGCAAGCAGAACAGAGTTTAAAAATATTTACTCCAAGATAAACTAGCTGCATAGCCAATATTAAGGGGTTTCCCCCCAATTTATTATGGACCACATGTCTGTGCCATAAGTTATGGATATTATGGGGACATTACACATGTAAGACCTCCAATAGTAAATCCCTGAAATAAAAAGCCCAATTTAGCACACACGCACTTATGCTTTAGTTAACTCTGGTTCAGCCTGAGTAATCCTCTGTATCACGACAAAAAACATAGTAAGTGTACTGAGACCTGCGATGTGCACAGATGATATGTATCACACAAATCTGTTGAAATATATTCTCTCTGGGATTCCATAACCTCACTGCTGAAAAACAATGGATAGGACTGATCTCATCTATCAAGTTGAACTACTATACGTTTTATTTACTTCCTGTCAAGTCTTCATTGTTGTTCTGACTTATGAGTCTCACTTGATAAGCAAACTATGGAGCACCAAGAACAGTAATCCTGAACATGCTAAAGGCAGATAGCAAAAGCTACAATGTCCTATTAAGATTAAATAGCTAAAAGAATACCAAGAGACATCAGCCTCAATAATGCATTTGCTTACAAAACAAGATTCAGCACCATGATCCTTGATGCTGTCAGCCAAAAGCCTGGCTGTTTGAACAGCCGCCACAATACATGGCAAGATCCCACTTAGATGTTAGGACAGCCTCTTGCTTTCTGTCATTACAAACACAGGTATTAGGATCCCCACCAGTGAAAATATTAGAGTACACTACACTAACAATATTCTTACCCTAATTCAATTACAGCTTTAATACATTTACAAATTATTATTAAGAGCTTTAGAAAGTGTCTGGCCAGACAGTCTAGACAACTGTTGAACTAATAATAGGAGAATGCTGGAATTTCCTATCAGGATGACAAATTTCTAAGCCAAAACTTTAACAAGCTCAGAATCCACTCTGTAAAGTGAAAAGTGTTTTTCACGTTTATCAGGAAAATGCATAAAAAGTATAACAGATACATGACTGTACTAAGTTATCTTCATAAGGTAAAGTCCTCACCTTCACTTAGTGCGTTAATAGCTTCCATCTTCTTTTCATTGGCCTGATCCATCATCTCATCTGACACCTGGAAGGGGAAGAACCAAAGTAGTAAAAAACAGGGAAGGGAAAACAAACTCGACCCAAAAACCGGAATCAAGAACCACAAGAGTAAGAAAGAAGTCTAATAAAGGGCCAATATTAAAAACCTAGTGTAAACTTATAATATACAAAAATACATGTATTTATTAGAAAGGCAGTAAAAAACAAATAAGGGCCCAATGAAAGCCTCGTTGCAAAATTCAAGTGGCCTGAACACGAGGGCCAATAGAAATGACCTACAAAATACAAATACAAATACAACACCTTTATTGGCATAAAATAGCAAATACACATGCAGCATAGAGCCTCAAGATAGGCTGGAGGGGTATCACATTCCGAATTGCCTTAATATGAGCCTCTCCTCCTAGATACCTCATAAAAGAAATTTGCTACAGGTTCCAGAATTTCTATATTGTGCGAAGACAATAAAGAACTAATTTTATGCTCATCAGATTGGCCCAAAAGGGGGTCCAACACAGGTTCAATAAAAACAACACGGATGTCACAGTGGAATTTACAGTACAATAGCACATGTCCAATGGATTCGATTTTCCCCATCCCACAGGGGCACAATCTATCTTTATAGGGAATTTTGTTGAACCTTCCCGATAGAACAGTTGAGGGAAGGACGTCAAACCGTGCTAGCATGAAAGCCCTACGAAGATGGGGCTGAATCAGTCTTGCCAGGTATCCTGAGGAAATATGGCTAAAAGAAAGTCCCATCCTCACAGGAGAGCAATGTCTGTGCGCAAGTCTTCTCAGGTCTTGCACCTCTATATGGAGAAATGACCTGATGCGTTTCCACCCTATTGGGGGCCTTCTTCAGAGGTCAAACAGTTTAAGGTACAAATGTTACAATATTACATATAACAAAATAACCAATAAGTTAATACTGGACCAAAAAAAGGAAAGTTAAGCAGGAAGAGTAATAGACACAAGACAAAGATGTTTATGAGGCCTCTAAAGATGAGAGTCATGTGTCTGGTGCCAAATGCACAGCTGCTGAATTAGAACATCTTCCGCTTCTGGTCCAGAAAGCACCTATGTGGCTACCTTAGTCAGAGCTATCTGCAACTTGCTTGAGGACCCTTGATCTTGCTGCTTAATTTTCCTTTTTTTGGTCCAGTATTAACTTATTGGTTATTTTATTGTTATATGTAATATTGTAACATTTGTACCTTAAACTGCTCGACCTCTGAAGAAGGCCCCCAATAGGGCAGAAATGCATCAGGTCATTTGTATTGGCCCTCGTGTTCAGGCCACTTGAACTTTGCAACAAGGCTTTCATTGGGCCCTTATTTGTTTTTTAACTGCCTTTCTAATAAATACATGTATTTTTGTATAAGTTTACACTAGGTTTTTAATAATGGCCCTTTATTAGACTTCTTTCTTACCCCTGATGGGGAGAACCAAGCCAAACAAATTTGGATAACATCTGTTATTCTAGAGTTAAAATGGTAAGTACAGCACATGTATCTATAGGTCTGTCTGTCTCTCTCTCAAACGACACCTGAGAAGCTCACCTGGTCTTAAAGGTTATATATTTTTTTCTTTCATCCTTTATAGAAAGTGAGTGTTAAATGGTGACAGAAGAGATGTATGTATTTCCTAATATATAACAAGGAGTTCTAAAGAACAATGTGTGGCTCACAGAGTGAGCTCCAAAATTAAGGAAAACTCAACATTACCTCAGTATTCTCATCTCCCATTTCTTGAGGCTCATCCTTATCAGGTTCAATTACTCCTTCATTATCAATTTCTGCAAACAGAAGCCTTGATAAGAATCACAGCTCAAAAGGAGAAAAAAAATCAAACCTGCAAATATCTACATGAAGCAGACCAGGCATGACTAGTGGCTCACCCAAATCACTCTCTTCACTTTCAGGCTCCGGGGGCTTTGGTGGTTCTTCTGGCTTCGTTTCTTCTGCTTTTGTCTAATGAAAATGGTATCAAATTAAGCAGGGGGGAAATCCAAGCTCATTATGATATTCAGGTTATGTAGTTTCTACTTAAAGCTTGCTACTTGAATCACTGGAAAATCTAGCGTTTCAACTATTCTGAAATCTGCAGAGATCTGCAAACACCCTCAGAACAACAAAAGGAGCATATCAGAAAAACAGAAGGCATTTTAAGTGACATGCTCATTAACAACTGTTCTCTAAATCATTATAGCTAGTGGCTGGGATCCAGGGAATGTGCCCTAAGGGACTCTGGGGTTGTCTCTGCCAAAATCAGCGCTCTTCCCTCTTCCTCCCCCATACAATTTAAAAGTGCCACACAGCAAACCACTATGAAGCTGACTTTCAGAAGCAGACTATGACATGACAGGGGACCACCTGTTCAAAGGAAAAAAATCCAACAGCGTAAGCTCAAATTCTAAACAATCCTAAGGATTTAATGTTGGGTATAAAGTGATCCCTGTGGCTTGTTATGGCAAATCTGAGGTTGCTTGTGTTTTATTACTTTGAATGGCTTTGAATTTGTATTGTCTTAATGTTTTGCAATACAGCTATTTAACAAGGACCTTAAAACATAAAGTTAAAGACCTGCTGAGCCCACAAAGGTCCAGACAGGAAGCAGTGAGGTTAAACTGCTGAATGATCTGATGAAGTATTAGGAATCAATATGTGAGCACCAAATCGACCAAACTATCAAGGAAAAATTAAACAGAACAAATAGAACAGTATTTGTGAACAATACTCTGGGGGCAAGCCATAAAGCAAAATCCGTATCCCTTCCAACACCAGTGCAGTGTATTATTGTGACAGGGAACGAGATCTTATTTGCCTAAGAGCAACAAAATCAAAATTCAGCCAGAAGAGAACAAAATTTGTCCAGGTCTGGAAAGCAAGCACTCAAGATTTAGTCGTAATTTATTCAATTTTTATTCTGACCTTTGTGGAGTTCAGGTCAGTTTACATGGTCTCCTCTTTCCTATTCAATCCTCACAAGGTCTCCCTAGTCCTAGTCCAGCATGTAGTAGACTAGGATCTGACAGACACAAATTCAAATCTCCACTGCCATGGAAGCATATTGGGAGATCTCAGCCTAACCTACCTCACAGGGTTGTTATGAGGATAAAGTAAAAGAGTGATATAAGCTACTTGGGTCCCCACTGAAAAGAAATGTGGGGAAATAAAATAAAAACGCTATACTGGCCCTTTGTAAGGGGACAGACCACTCAGGAGGCAAGGATACTACATGCAAGGGTAAACATGCAAGGCATTCCTAGAATGCAGGTAGTATCAAGTAGGGATGGACACAAACCAGCTGACGGACCAAAGTTCACCTTGAATTTTGGCCTCTTTGAGGTTCATGAACTGAAGAACTGGGATGAACTACCATGAATTTTGGCACAATTTGTGGTGGTTCATGAAGAGCAGAAAGCAGTGGTTTACCCCTGCTTTTTACTCTTCAGGAGAAACAGCTGAGCTGCTGGGAGCTCCCTGCCGCTCTGCTGTTCAGTTTATATTACTCTTCACCGGAGCAGAAAGGAGGGTTTAAATGGCTGGAAGCCAAACTACTGCTGCTTTCTGCTCCCTGTGGCTATCCTCTGGGAGCAGAAAACAGAAGTTTAAATAGCCTTGCTTTCTGCTCCCTGGGAAAAGCCACAGGGAGTAGAAAGAAGGGTTTAAATGACTACCAGCCATTTAAACCCTTTTAGCTCACCGCAACTTTTCATGCATGGAGCAGAAAGCAGGGCTTAAATGGAAGGGGTGAAGTCAGGAGAAAAGTGCAAGGGAGTCCCTTCTCAGGAGATTCTCCCCCACTTCCTGGGGCTCTTCTTCCAAATGCTGCATTGGAAGATGCCAGAGTATGGATCTTGTAATGGCAAACGAATGTGGAGATCAAAGACCAAGTGGCTGCGCTACAAACTTTGTCCACTGACGCATGATTTAGGAAAGCGGCATTGGTAGAGGCACTGTGGAGAGAATGCGCAGTAATCCCCTTGGGAACTTCCATGCCAGCAACTCTGTACACTTCCGCAACGCACAACTTGAGAACTGAGCTAATGGAAGCCTTAGACATCCTTTCTCCCTTCTTTGGTGGAGAGATATTGATGAATAGGCAATCGGATTTTCTGATGGACTTGGTCTGAGCAATGTAGATCTTGAGAGCTCAACGAACATCCAGTGTATGCCACACAACCTCTTTAGGATGTTTAGGCTGCGGGCAGAAAGAGGGTAGGTAGACCTCCTGGGCCCAGTGGAAATGTGAAGAGGCCTTAGGAATGAATGTGGGGTCTGGCCAAAGACCACCTTATCCTTATGAAAGATGCATAGGTTGCTCTTGATGGAAAATGCGCTGAGTTCGGAAACCCTGCATGCCGACATTATAGCCACCAAAAACAGAGTTTTCATGCGTAACCACCTGACACCTACTTCCCTCAGCTGTTTGAACAGTGCTCCGGTTAGTGCAGTCAACACTGTGTGTAGTCTCCAGGTGGGGAAGCATGAACTGGGGGGGGGGCACCTTGACGGCTGCTCCCTGAAGGAATAACTGGACATGTGGGTGCTTGGTCAATTTATAGCCTCCTATTGCAGGAAGCACTGTCGAGAAAGCCACTGTCTGTCTGTGTAATGTCGCCGACTTGAGGCCTGAATGTAACCCTTCCTGGAGAAACGTTAACACTGATGCTACGAAAAGTTGTAGTGAGTTAACCTGCTTCCTTCTACACCACCTGATGAACACTTTCCATGTTGCATTATAGATGCAAATGGTCGACTGTTTCCTGGAAGACAGGATGGTGTCCGTCACCTCCACAGAGTAACCAAGCTGTATCAACTGGTTCCTTTCAATTTCCAGGCGGTCAAGCACAGCCAGTCTGGATGGGGATGCCAGATCAGCCCCTGGAGTAGCATGTCTGGAGTCACCGGCAACGGCAGTAACAGTGCCGAGAACCACGGACGTCGTGCCCAGCAATGAGCCAGTAGAATGATTACGGCCCTCTGTTCTCGCACTTTCTGGATGGTCCTGGGGATGAGAGGGAAGGGTGGAAAGGCGAAGAGCAGGAGGCTATGGAGATGTCAATGTGTCTGACGCTTCTGCTGTTGGATGGTGATATCTTATGAAGAATCTGGGGAGTTGATGGTTCTGTGGCAAAGCAAAGAGATCCACCAGGGGTGTGCCCAGTTCGTGGCAGATGATCTGGAATAGCCTGGGATGTAGAGACCATTCCCCATCGGAAATGGTCTCCCAGCTGAGCCAGTCTGCTTGTGTGTTGCAGACGCTCCTGATGTGCTTCACTCTGATCGAAGAGATGTTCCTCTCTGCCCATGACAGGATCTTCGAGGCCTCTCGGTGGAGTTGAGACGAACTGGATTCCCCCTTGCTTGTTCAGGTAGGCCCTGGTGGTCATGTAGTCCGTTCTTACCAAAACATGACGATTCTGAACCTGTTGGTGAAAATGACTTAGAGCGAGCCTGATTGCTCTGAGTTCCAGTAGGTTGATAGGGAGGACCTGTTCGTCCCTCGACCATCAGCCCTGAACCGGTGCATTGTCCAAGACAGCCCCCCAACCTAGGAGACTGGCATCTGTAATCAGTTCCTTGTCCGATGAAATGGGGAAATTTTTCCCCTGGCTCAGATTGCTGAGATCTGTCCACCACAGCAGACTCTCCTTGACCGGAAGTGGAACCCAAAGGCTGCAATCCCACTTCTCCATGATGGAGCATTGGTATGGGCAGAGGAAGCTTTGTAGTTCCCTGGCATGGAAATGGCCCCATTGAACCATGTCCATGGCTGATATCAGCAGAAAGACGAGCCAGGGTTAGGAGTGAAGAGTGGTCGCTCTGGATCACGAGAGATGCTGCTTCCCCTGATCTTCTTGGCCTTGAGAAGTGGAAGAAACAGAGAGCTGCATGTTGTGTCTATTACTGCACCCAGATGTTCCAACCTCTGGGTAGGGTGCAACGAGCTCTTGGGGATGTTCACAACGAAGCCGTTTGAAGAGTCATTTCTGTGTCCTGCAGGGACTTGGTCTGAGAGTGGGCTCTGATCAGAATATCGTCCAGGTAGGCGTGAACGTGAATACCTAATTTCCTGAGGTGGACAATCGGACGTAACAGGACCTTGGAGAACGACCATTGGTTACTCACTGTGAAAGATTCTTCTCCTCTGAGGCTTGGAGGACATCTTCTGGGTGATTCCCATCCATCACTTAGGGAGGCAGGACTAATTTCAATTGCTTCCTGTTTCCTGTAGTGGGAATCACCCTGGGCTCAGTTCTGGTGCTCCAAAAGCAATACACTAACTTAACCACTGTAAAAAAGAGAACTTGAACATCATCAACAACAAGAGTATAGCCAAAATCACAAACATTGGAACAGGAAGGAAAAGGTGAGTCCCCCTCTCTCACGTAATATTATTATTATTGTTGTTATTTTTAAATAGTGTGAAAGAACAGCATAGTAGATAGTAGAAATGATGACCCGGGAGGGCCAAGATGTCCGCCAAACCTCAGAGGAGAAGGACCCTTCATGGTGAGTAACCAATGGTCGTTCTCCCTCTGAGGTGGAGAACATCTTGTGGGACCTCCCAGAGCAGTGTCCCTAATTTTGGGGAGGGTGGTCGTCATCAAGAGTTAGAACAGACTGCAGCACTCCCCGTCCGAATGCCGCATCAGCAGAGTCATACACATCTTGTAATGCCTGATGAATGTGGATAACGAAGACCACATAGCAGCCCTGCAACCTTCCTCCACCGATGCCCTGTTGGCAAAGGCCACATTCGTTGCCGGGTTGCAAAGAGAGAGTGGGCCGTGATACCTCCAGGAACTTGTTTCATAATCTTGTAGGCTTCAGTAATGCAGGGCCCTCATAGTGTTGGTTATCGCAGAGTTAGACATCTTTCTCCCTGTGTGAAGAGGAGAAATATTAACAAACATATCTTCTGTCTGTTTGGAAGAGGCCATTCTGAGAATATAGCATTTGAG